TCCCTCCTCCGCCGGGCCTCCCCGCCCGCCGCCTGGCCAATCGGAGGCCACCGAGCTGCGGCCGTAGCCTTCCGGATCGCCCGCCCCCTCTCTCGGAGCGCCCCGTTTTTGCTGCAGCCCAAGGGGGATCTCCAAGGGGGATCGCGGGAGGGAAGCCTGGGGTGCGCGGAGCACGTCCCCAGCAGGTGGAGGGGTTTCGGGAAATAACTTGCACAGGAACTTAATTGGTGACAGGTTCCTCTTTGGACCGCAAAGGGGAATCAGTTAGAGAATAGGCAGGGAGGGGGGCGCACGAAGCGGAGACGGATGCCTCCTTGGCAGCCGAACGCACGCTTCGCTTTCTGTTTTGTCGTTCTTTCGAGATACATTATTTTTCTGGGCCGGGACTGAGGTTATTTTTCTGCGCCGGGGCAGACACACAAACTGGCAAAGCAGGCAGAGCACATTCTGGCCATTGTCTGAGACCCTTGCCACGAGCCACCTGCGGCGGACAGGGCGGAGGCCCGCACCTCTCCCACCTTGGAGGCTTTGCGGGAACAAAGTTCTAGTGTTCTTGTTTTTTCTTCTGTTCCCCCTGAGAGTTTGAGAGTGTTATTTTATTGGAAATCTCCCGTTTTATATTTCTACTCTTTAGTGGTACAGTTCGTATTTTTTAGCAAACAGTTCCAGCGATTTTGACGACCTTCCTACATCAACCCCAACAACAAATGGGGGGAAAAAAAGAAAAAGAAAGAAAGAACCTAAAAGCCAGAGCTTGGCGTGAAAATTGGATTATCTGAAAGACAAAACGACTGATGCAGAGTTCGCACCAAGTAAAGGATTTTTACTTCTTCCTTTAAGGTGAGAACTTGGAGTGGAACACAAAAAGTGAGAGACTTTACAAGTTTAGGTCACAGACTTTTGGGGAATGCAGGGGAGGGTGACAGAGCAATTGCTTTTTGAGAGATAATAAATTTTTCCCCAAGTTTTACAGGTAAATAAAAATACCGGTTTTATCTAAGCGTTTTAATACTTTGGAGGTCGTCGAAATTCGTTGCAGTTTATAAACGACTCTTTGGCTTTCTATAACCGAAATATTATTATTTGAATTTGAGTTTCAGGATACTGATCATTTAAGAACTTGATGAATCTCTAAGAATCAAGTACTAATTTCTTTGACGTAGGTGATGCAGCTTTTAATAATATACTATTACTGGGTAGGCTTTTAAAATTTTAATATTCATGGGGAAACATTCAATTTTAATTAAAACAATATTATAGGCCATTTCTTAATGAAACACAAAAAAATTTCCCTGGCTTTTCTTCTCAGAAGAATAAGGAAGGTTATGTTAATTAAATTTAAAGACCAAGGGCTTGGCTTGTTCTTTCTCTTTTTCGCCCTTCTTTGCTAGATATTATTGTAACACAATTACTAATCTGCATAAAAGTTCTCCTTGCAGTAAGATATTTATAAGTTCCATTTTCAAGGAGTCATGCATAATAGTAAAACATCCAGTTGCAACATGGGGATAATGTTTATTATACTACAAAATAGAATTTATAGATCCCATCTCCATGCCTAAGAGTTCAGCTGTGATCCTGGACCTGAGGCCTTAACATTCTCACCACTCCCAGCAGTAGCCATTGATATTTATTGCCATTCTGATTAATTTAAAGGTAGAACAGCTAGCTTCCAGCATGAATAACTATTACTTGTTAGTATTAGGCTTAAAACTTTGAACATCATGCCCATAATAACTTAAACTCTTTTTTCAAATATTTTTTAATTGATCTCAGAGAGAAGAAGGGAAACGGAGAGATAGAAACATCAATAATGAGAATCACTGATCAGCTGCCTTCTGCACGCCCCCTACTGGGGATGGAGCCCACAGCCCAGCAGGTTCCCTGACCCCTGACAGGGAATGGAACCCTGACCTCTTGGTTCATGGGTGGATGCTCAACCACTGACCTATACCTGCCTGGGCAAATTAAACTCTTATAACTTCAAAATCTGCTTTGCAATGCCTGTCAGTCAACTAATTCTCTAATTCCAATAGTTTTTTTTAACACACAGATAAGTAAGCACTTGCTTTTTTTTTTTTTTTTTTTTT